TATATATATATATATATATATACACTACCTACAATATAAATGATATAAATGATAACATCAGCCTGTATAAGGTACATATTGGGAATTTTGTGATTTTTTTACGGGTTACATCTCTTTTTGGTTCTGTATCTGTCTAGTTCTCAGTGTAGAACCTGCATAGAAAAGGTTTTCTAGAAGACCTTGCTACAAGTTCAAGTCGTTATAGACGTACAGGATAGTTTGCATGTAAGTAAAAATAGAATGCCTCGAGTTGAGTGATCTTTAAATGCCCTCATCTCTTAGCTTTACGGCAAAGACAGAAAGTCAAGCAGCGCAGTTGTTTCTGTTAAAGGGGACATACTCTGGACTGAGAACAGCAAAACCCCAATGTTGGACAGCTGTAAAATCGTGTAGACAGGTTGTCATACAGCAGTGGGGGCTTCTCTGAAAGGAACCCATTGCTAAACATTAAATACACAATCCAGGCGAAGGCAGGCAGGCGCAGACACACACTCTCGCAAGGGGGAGAGAGAGAGACTCGCTCACATCCACTTGCACACATCCAGACAAACATCCCGTTGCTGCTACAGAGTAAAGTTGCCCAGCCAATGCTCAGGCCACATGCACCAAAGGGGGAGGTGCCTGGAGCTCAAGTGGATGCCAATCAAAGCATCAACTTCAAATTGTATCTGAAAGATCAGCCCAGGACCTAAGGGCAGACACATCAGTTGGAGCTCAATTGTTGATCAGATCACATCTAAGGGATTTAGGAGCACAGAAGAGCCGAGATTTGAGGGGGGACAAAAAGGAGCACCCTATCCAATCCTCACTCCTCTCTCCCCTTGTTCCCATCTAGACTTTTCCTCTCTCCGTAGAATACATTACTAATCACAGCGAGAGAGCGAGAGAGCGAGAGAGCGAGAAGAGTACAAGGTTGCTGCACACTACACTACTTCATTTTTTTTTTTGGGGGGGCCAAGAGTTTGGTCTGGTTTTTCCAGCGCTGTGCCTGATTCGCCCTCCCCTTTTGTTATTGTGCTGGAGAGCCAGCGATCCCCTGGCGGAGAAAGAGAGCCCTAGTCATTGAGAGACATGTCCTTTCCACAGCTGGGCTACCCCCAGTATCTCAGCGCTGGCCAGGCGGCTGTCTATGGAGGCGATCGGCCGGGAGTGCTGGCGGCAG